TAGCTTTTTGTAAGTCAGAAATCAGTTTATGTTCATAGTTATAAGCTATAAGCTGTTAAGACATAAGCTATAAGTACTTTCCCACAGCTCTACCAAACAGGGCCATATAGCCCTAAGGCTTTAGATCCAATTTTTGTTACATGTGTAACCGAACTCATGACTTTCTAATGCGGAACACAAGATTTTACGTCCTTGTTTATAATAGGAGAACTCCTAACCTGAATAGTAAATAGCTAGTTATGCTAATTACTTAATAGATATGAAAATAAAAGTAAGCAGAAAATTATCAAAATTGACAGATTTAAGTTAGGCCCAAATTGGATACTATAAAATTTAAGAAACGTGTCAAAACAAATGGTACTAAAAATAGACATTCATACCTAAATGCGTTACTAAAACAAAACTATCTAAAAAAGAAAAATTAGGGCAAATTATACTTGTGATCACTATAGTTTGCATGTTATGCCAATTTGGTTAAGGTAAATTTTTCTAAATCTATCTCATCAATATTATATATCTTATTTTGTGATATAGTTTTTTCTTCTGTCATTACGTAAAGCTGATTTATTTCACTACGATTATCTTGATTTTCTTCCCTATCTATACTACTAAATTCATCATCTTCAGATTTTTCTGGTGCTACATAGGTACACTGAGTAAATCTTACTACATAATTTCCATCTGTTGTTTGGTATAATAAATTATCTTGAGGGGCTAATCTCTTTTGTCCTAGAAAATCTCCTAGTTTCCAATCTAATGCTGCATTATCTTCAGAGTTAAATTTTTTAGCTGGTAATGCTTTTATTCCTTTTGCGCCTAATAATTTAACTATCTGATCATTAGTAAGTCTATAGTGAGTATTGCTTTCTGAGACTGCTAGACCTAAAAATCTTGTGCAAACTAATAAATTCTTTTCTCCCTTTTTCATTTTATATCCTCTACTCTTTATTCCTATTTTTATCTTTTTATGAAAGGTCGAGGTTGGTAGTAAAAAGTCTGGTGTAAAATATACTATTCCTCCTTTTGAATTCATGTCTAGTTCATAACTTCCTAAAATACTCTGTCCGACATCATTAAACCTATCATCATAGAGACATATAAATACTTTAATTCCTAAATTTTCTCTGGTTAAAGCCTTAACTCCTACCACTACTAATCCTAAATGAGTCATTTTAAGGTGTTCATTTACAGCATAATTATAGCTTTCTCTTTCTATTAAATTTAGCTCTATTTTCTCATCTTCTTGAGTCACACTAATCATGCGTTCACCATAGTGTTTAAATAAATATTGTTTTTTATGAATCTTACCTAGCTTATACACATATTTAGCTGGAATTAACTCTAACTTTTCCTTTTTAAATTTTTCTATCTGCTGTTCAACATCTATAAATTCTTCTACTTTAACATCTTCATCTTCATTACGCTTTTTACTACTACTTCCTTTTATTAGCTGTTTAAACATTTTTATTTTCTATAAATTCTACACACTGGTTTCTTAGGTAATTTAAGCTTTTCAAAATATCTAGCTATATCTTCCTCGTTTACTTGAGATTGAGGTTTGTTAGATTGTCCATCTATTCCTTTTCCTTTCTGAAGTACTATTTTTTCTAAAGACGCTAGACGATTTTCTAAACTATGTAGTTGTTCTGATAGGTATTCAAGTTTTTCGCACAATCGAATTAAAAATAAAATTTCTATATTATTTTGTCTTACTGATATTTTATCTGATTGATTTATTCCTTGATAAGTACTAATTCCTTCCGGATTATTATGAAAATCTTTTGCTTGTTTTAAAATAGTCTGATAATCTCTATTAGCTTT